GTATTTCTAGACATGTGGTTTTCCTAGAAAATTTATTTTATTTTGATGCAATTGCAAACCCCAATAATTCCTCACCTTCTGTGTTGCATGACTTTTCTCTTGATCATAATGCTCCAGTAGAACAAGTTTCCATTGATCAATTCCATGCAGCAGATGACCAACCTCAAACTTGTTCCTTTCACCAACCAGAAGATGGTACACCTGTGGATGCTCAATCAGTAAGTGATTCTAATCCTGCCTCTAATGCCTCTACTAATTCCATTGTTTCTTTACGTCGTTCTGCCCGTACTATTCGTCCACTTGATCGTCTTAACCTTTTTACCTCTGTCTCTTTGTTGACAACATTAGATTTTGTTGATATACCTCGTTCTTACCAGGAGGCTGTTAGCATTCCTTGCTGGAAGGAAGCTATGGATTCTGAATTAAGTGCTTTATTGGAGAATGATACTTGGGATATGGTACCTTGTCCTTCTGATGTGTCTATTATTGGTAGCAGGTGGGTCTTTTCTGTTAAGCTCAAAGCAGACGGTAGTATTGAGCGGTATAAAGCAAGACTTGTTGCCCAAGGTTATAAGCAAGAGTATGGAATTGATTACGTAGAAACATTTGCACCAGTGGCTAAAATGACTACAGTGAGATTACTTATTGCTCTTTCGGCAATGCATCAGTGGCCTATTTCTCAAATGGATGTGAAGAATGCTTTTCTGCATGGGAATTTGAAAGAAACTGTTTATATGAAGCCTCCTCCAGGTTATTCACATTCTCAATCCATGGTTTGCAAATTAAAGAGATCATTATATGGTCTTAAGCAAGCTCCTCGAGCTTGGTTTGAACGCTTCCGTCAAGTTATTGTGGATGCTGGGTATGTTCAGAGTTCTCATGATTATTCTTTGTTCATGCATAACTCTCCGCAAGGTGTTACTCTACTTTTGATTTATGTTGACGATATGCTTATTACTGGTAGTAATAAGGAAGGTATTGCTAAGTTGAAAGAGTTACTTTGTCGTTCTTTTCATATGAAAGATTTGGGGCCACTGACTTATTTTCTTGGTTTAGAAGTTCACTCATCTTCTCGAGGTATGCGGTGAATCAACGGAAGTATGTTCTGGATTTGATCCAATTTGCAAATTTATCTGATGATAAGTGTGTTGACACTCCAATGGAAGTAAATGTCAAGCTTCGGCAGGAGGATGGTGAAAAACTCTCTAATCCTAGCTTTTATCGTCAACTTGTGGGTCGCCTCCTTTATCTTACTATGACTAGACCTGATATTGCTTATGCTGTGCAAGT